CAATATTGGGTTAAGTATGTGTGGTGATCTGGGAGGTGGATTGCTTGTGACTTGTTATACCTAGAAACAAAAATAACTGCATCCCCATGCTCCATAGCCGATAAAGAAAACGTGCTGTTATTCACCTTTAAAGGTGGATACACAAGTCTATGACAGAATGTCAGTGTGTATGTGCTGAAGTTTAGGTAACACACTTGCGTATGTGCAATGTCCAGAATAGGGAGGCAGACGGTTGTGTATGTGTGATGTCTGGAAGAGGCAGATGGTCTCCATACTGGAATGGAAGCAGAAGAGGCAAACAGGGCGCCCATTTAAAAAGTTCAGTTGCTTCCTACTAAATCTTTGACTCTGCTAAGAAGTAATGTAAAAAGCTAGTCCTAATTTGTCACTGCAATATTTTCAAAGCCTTAAAAATATCCCAGTTAGGTCTACCTACTTTTGAATAGTCTTCCTTCCTAGATTGAATTGTGGAATCTTCATCTTTATTAAAGCTGCTCATAGACCTGTCATTAATACTTTCGTTCTTTGATTCTTGCAAGGCTAAACAATTTTAATTATGAGAAGGGCTTTGGCAAGACAAATGGAACCAAGTAGGGAAGAAAAGTTTGTTAGGGAATAAATCAGCAAGTCATTATTATACTCACTCCAACTGTTTATGGCTTAAGCATATACTAAATACTTTTATGGTCCCAGATTTGTTTTCTGATCTTTTTTTTTCTACCAATTTCTAGATTTTTATTTATTTAATTTTAATTAAATTTTTTTGGGGGGCAACATTTCACAGTGCTCAGGGATTTGTCCAGGCTCTGCATTCAGAAATAATTCCTGGAGACCATATGGGATGCCTGAGATTGAACCCGGGTCAGTTGCCTTCAAGACAAGAACCCTACCTGCTGTGCTATTGCTCTAGCACCAATTTTTAGATTTTACTGAAGCTGGGCAAAGCACATTCCTCTACAACAAGGACATTTCATTGTGATTGATAGTGTGGAATCAGAAATATGTCTGATCCTCAGGGACAGAATAGGAAACCAAAGCAGTGGTTTCCCTCTCCCAGGAAGCAAAACAGCAGCTTCTGTACAAATACTGCACTCCTAGTTCTTCCAAATGAGGATAAATGCTCTTCACCTCTCTGCAGGAAGCAGGCAAAAGAAAAAGCTTCCCTCTATGACTATCAGGAAAATGCTATGTGGATAATAACTTTGCCTAGCGAAAGGTATTTGGGTTGCTTGATGAACTAGAAGAGGAACAGAGTTTCTTTAGGGAAGAAGATCAGATGACCAAGCCAGAAGGCTTTGAAGCAGGGGTCAGGGACCTTTTTTTCTTCCTGCCAAGGACCACTTGGATATTCTATATGTAATTCAAAGGCCATGCAATGAGGCAGGTGACTGTGTAGAGCCAGCAGGAAGCACAGGTGACAGTCCTGTCATGTACCAAGGTACACAGCCTAAGTTCTCCACTCCTCCTGTGTCATATCGAAGGAACAGCAACACCCACGAAGTAAAGTAACAGCTCAGACTATCATAACTCAGTCTGAGGGAAGAATGGAAAGTGGCCTACAGAGACAGGACTGGAGTGTCTCTAACCAGGTCTTTTTCTGCACATATTCAACCAAGTCAGGGCAGCCTCCTTCATTTCATTTTGTTGACTGTGGGAGAGAGGGTAGGAAAATCCATCAGAAACTTCTTAAGTACCCATTTTTCCACTGATCATATAAGGACTCTATAATGAGTGTTAATTCCCATGTGGTCCTCAGTGATTATCTTCCAGGACTGTGTCCTGCGGGTAGTTCTTGATCCTATCTTGCTTTCTCTTACCTACTTCTGAGGATGTAGGTCTGATCCCCAATTTGTGATCGTGCTCTGCTTCCCCCCCATCCCCAAGATGTCTCTGGGGGTTCCCCTCCCTTTTGGACCTAAGATGGCAGCTAGTCTGGGATTCCCACTGCTATGCTGAATACCCCTGGTGAAACGTACTGACGTAGTTTAGAAGCCCAGTATTGTTCACAATCTTCTGAGATTTTTATGGTGAATTATAAATCCTGGTGTAGTGGCTGAACCTTGTACTTTCCCCCCCTCTATGTTCCCTCTCAGCTTGCATGCTCAGGAGGGACACCAGTCTTTCAACTTGACCACCCAAGGGCTGAGAACTGCTATGTCCATTCAAAATAATAAGACAGTTTCTACCCTCGGGAAGCTTCAGTCTAGAAGAGAAGATGAGACCTTTATAGATAAAGCACATTTTAAAGTTAAAAAAAATGTAGCTTTCACAAAGCAACAGAAAGTACAAGAAAGAACAACTGCTGTAAGAACTCGGAGAATTAAGATGATCAAAAATTTGAAATTCTGGGAAAAGAATGGTGGGAAAAATATATGTACATATTTGCCTATCTATGCAAAAAAGGTAGAGTGGGTTGAATTTTGTCCCTCTCACACTTCTTAGGTTTCCTCTCAGTATGTTAGAATCTGACTGCTTTGGAGACGAAACCTTTACAGAAGTGATAAATGTTGTTAGATTCTTAGACTCATTATGATTCATTAGAAGAGGGACCTAAAAGAACAGACACAGAGAAAAGGTTATGTTCAAGATCTGTAGTCCTTTGCTATGACAGACAAAGGAAACAAAGACGGGAAAATTCCAAATATATGAAACTGTTTAAGCAGGAGCTCTTGAGTAGGGGGCACCCTCTGCAGGGAGTGGAAACATTTCCGGTGTGAGAATACTGTGAAGCAAAAAGGGAGTCCCTGAACAAATCGCAGTAGTCAATGGACTAGTGAGAACAGGTATATGCAGCGATACCAGGAAAGAAAACATAACTTTTATCTTGTTGGATTTTGTTTAGGGTATTTATTCTCAGGGATTAATCATTGCTTAATTCAAACTTTAAACCAAGTTTCCTTTACAGGATTTATTAAGGTCTTCATACCTGAAGGCTATCTCAGAGGTAGAGGGAGAGAATCAAAGTAAGAGGGAAAAAAAGATGATAAAGAGAAAGTGATTCTGTCGGGCTTAGAAAAGAATTTGACACTGTCAGAATCAAGAGAGAAGTGAAATCTGGTCAGAGAAGAGATGCACATCTCAGGAAGGAAGAGAAACACCTTGGAAAACCACCTCTGACTACAAACTCTGTTGTACAAAGTGCCTGCAGCCTTCATTTGGAGCAAATGGAGCAAATGGTATAAGAACAGAAGACAGCCATACCAAAGGGTAAAGGTCCTGGGGGCAATGTCTTGTGTGTGCCCTTATCCAACTTCTGTCCTGGGCTTGGTGGAAATTTTCAGGAACTCAGGATTGTTGGAGTGTGGCAAAGGAACTGAAGGAAGCTCTTTCTTGTCTGTCAGCTGGGATTGTGCATGGAGCACTCGATCCCATGGGAACTGGTACCATCTGCAGCCAGGGCACCAACACTGTTCCTTGAATGTCATTAAGCACGTTCAACCCTGAACAGTTAGTTGTCACTTTACCTAATAGCTCATGCTGACATGGTCAAGTGAGGATTTGTCAATGATAAAAAGAAAGGTGTTTGTATGTTCAACAACAAAACCCACTGCTTAGTTATATTTGTGTTACATTCTAAGCTACTGATGGCATAGACTCAGGAGAGCAAATATGGCTATGGATGCACTCTCACCCAGAGCCTATATTTGTGGTACAGTCTGTGAGCTGAAATAGATTTCTATGTACTTAAAGGGCTGTTCAAAAAAAAAATTCCAGCAAAGACTGTGCTACAGACTTATGGCCTAAAAGTTGACCAGAAAAGTTTGCAAGTCCCTGATGTTTGTTAGATATTTTTTTTTAAATCCACCTGGGAATGTGGATCATTTTCTCTAGTGATAACAAAATTTCTTAGAAACATATATTTTTGTCTTTCAGCAGATGAATCTACTCAGCACATAAACTTGGGGCCATCTATGCCTCTCTGTACTGTGTGTGTGTGTGTGTGTGTGTGTGTGTGTGTGTGTGTGTATGTGTGTAAGAGAGAAAATGTAAACAAGGTGGTGATAGCCGGGTATCAACAAGGACTCTCAAGCTCACTGGAAAAGGAGCGTTTCCCAAACTTTTTTTTTGGACCTTCGTGCTCCTGAGGTCTTTAAGGTGTCAATCACTGCTGGCTTGACCTTACATGTCCCCACGTTGAGCAAGCCAAGAGCCCTCTGCCCTGCTTATTTCCTCAGTGCAGCTATTGCCTATCTAGGGAAAAAGAGCAGATTTACATCTGCTTGTCTTTTAGCCAATGAAAGAAGCATAGACAAATATGCACTCAGACCCTAGAACAATCTGGCACTGCTCAACTGCTGGCAGAGATACAGGAGAGAAGGTGCTATAGAGCTGAGAATACAAATCAGAGATAAATGTTGAAAAAGGAAAGTTGGGGTCTCAAGAAAAGGAGCTGACCTTGGAGATCCAGAGGGTATCTGACAAGGGAAATGAAGGCCAGATTTAGGAATATTCACAGAAATTCTCAAACTTCTCATCTCTTTTCACGGCTCTAAGTATAATATGCTAAGTATAATAATGATCCCTGACTTTTCTTTCTACCTTATGGGAATGACTTGAAACAAGAAAATTAAGTTGACAGGTGCAGAGTTTTATGTAATGGAAGGAAATATTAAACTCATGTTGGGTTTTGTCCATAACTTCTGAATGTATCAACAATATTCAGGCTTTGTAATCAGCAACATTGCTACTTTAAAAAATAAATTCAAGAGTGCATCAATTTGCTCTAGATTTTTTTTTTACCCAATTGAGACTGCATTTCTCATAATTTAGCAATGAAAATTTCCAGCTGATAATGTGCCTATTCCATAGAGGGAAATAATATGATAACTCCTGAGTCACATAAGAACTGTTTGATCTTGTCTTCGAAAATGAATAAGTAGGATTTAGGGAAGTTCCCTGCTAACCAGAAAAAAAGAAAAACTAAGCTACCCTCTTTTGAACGATATCCATTACAAATCATCCACTTCCTTCTAACACTTCCCCGACTATCATGCCCCTAAGCTTCCAGTTAGATGAAAGACTCAGTCATGCACATTGCAGTAGCAAAAAAGCCATATTTTCCTGCACAAAGCAGGTAAGATTCATCCTGAGTCCCCATGGCATTTGGGCTCGGGGTTGGGTGGCAAGGAAGAGGTAATGCTGATGAGAATATTGGCAAAGGGCTGGTGTGTGTGTGTGTGTGTGTGTGTGTGTGTGTGTGTGTGTGTGTGTGTGGAGAGGTAACCTCTGCTGAAATCCTAACTTGCTTTTGCCAGCCCAGTCCATGGCATCTTCACTCACTCATCTTGTGGCCACTGCTTTTGAAGGCCACTGTTGCCATGCTTTATGAAGATGGTGGAGCCCCACAGCAGCTGGGCTCAGCCCTGCTCCACAGCAGTTTGTAGACAAAGAGAAGCTGCCAACTGTGTTCCACTCGGGCTTGACAGGAGCTGTGTGCAGATGCTTTCATGGTTAAAAGTCCTAGTAGTGTAAAAAAGAAATCAGAGTAACAAGTGAGCATATCTCCAAGGCCTCCATAGTTGCACCGCTGCCTTCTGTTTAGTGACCCTGGTTTTTGCTGATTGAGTTTACCTTCCATGCTCTTGGGCTTCCTCTTTTGCTGAGGAGTAGTACTCAGCCTTTAATTAAATATTCTTGTGAAGAGGTGGCTTCTCTTTTGGTAAAAAGATTCAAGTAGAACTGACCCCAAAGCAAGTGAAAATATTTGTCATGCTTTGATTAAAGTATGAAAAAATATTACCTGCCAAGTAAATAGTTCCTTTATAAAATATTTCCACTCCCAGGCCATAACCATGAAAGCTCCTGAACCAGAAGTTTTGGGTGATGCTTAATTTGAAGAGGTATGGGGACAGGGAGGAAGTTTAGAGGCTTAGCTTTTATTTTTGAAAGGAAATCCAGGAAAAAATGAATGTCACATAATGAACAGCCACTGCCACCAACCAATTTATCCTTTTCAAATAACTCAAGGTATTAATAAAAATGAAGTAGTCAGATAGAATTGAAAGCACCAAACCCTTCAATTATGACTTTTTAATGGGATGTTCTGCTGGTATTGAGATTTAATAGCATATTTTCTATTTATTAAGGTTAGTTGAAGGGCAAAATCCCAGGAAACAGAACACTAAAAGTCTGGGTATAATTTAGTATTCTTAATATGATCATTACAATTGGAGGATTTTCACTACACTATTTATGAAGCAGGGGTACTTTGAAAAATATGCTAACTTTTAAATCTGGAGACCCAGATTCGAATTGTAGTTCCACTATGACTTTGGGTGCATCTTTAATTACTCAAGTTCAAATTTTTATTTCTAAAATAGAAATAGTTCAATTGCTATGACATTTAAGAACAATGTACTGATGCCAGACACAGTAGATCTTAGTAGAAAAGAGCCCAAAGAGAATAGTTTTCCTCACATATCACTGAAAACCAGAGATAGAGCAATCCAAGCAGATGGTGAGAGAGTTAGAAGACTTAATATTCTAGAGCTTGGTTAGCATACACTAAATGAAGACAGAAAAAGCATTCTTAGATCATATATGAGAAATATAGAAGGAAGAAAACTGTAACTAGTCTAAAATACTTGCAATAGTTTAAGGAAAATTTTGAATAAAGATATATCAGCTTCTTAATAAATGAAACTTAAACTGCAGAAAAGACCCAAATTTTACCTGTACCATAATGTCAAGTTGATTTTTTGGTGATGATTAGACAATCCCAAAGCAATTGCTTTTTATAGGACATCAGAAAAGACATTTGTCCACCCACGATTACTCTGAATAAATTCTTCAAAACCTCAAATAGAAGCAGTAATGATGTGAGTACAAATATGACAATGTTTTAACTGACAATTTTAGATAGGTTTTGATTTCTTAAGGTTATAAAAATCTTTTTAGATGAGTAAAAATATAACTCATATATTTATCCTACTTGACCAACTGTCATCAACATTATTGATTTCTTATAAAATTAACATATTATACTTAAAAGTGGGTAGGGCGTTCGCCTTACACGCGGCCAACATGGCCGACCCGAGTTCGATTCCTCCGCCCCTCTCGGAGAGCCCGGCAAGCTACCGAGAGTATTCGATATGCCAGACACAGTAACAACAAAGTCTCCAATGGAGACGTTACTGGGCCCGCTCGAGCAAATCGACGATCAACGGGAGGGCCTTTACCTTTACCTTACTTAAAATAATGCTATGGGAAAGGATAGACATGTTAAAATCTGCCTCCTCAAATTTGGGGAGTAAGGCTGAAAAAGAGCATAACAGACACTTACTTGTGGATGATAGTTTTACATGAGCATAGTTGTAACAGCTTTTATCTAATAATTCCAATTTTCTAGTTGTCAATTTTGAATAAAAGTAACAGAATTGCTAACTTTTTGGTAACCCTAAGCAGTCTAATATGCAAATTGAATGAATGAATAAATGAATGAATTTTTGTTTTGGGGGCCACACTCAGCAATGTTCAGGGCTTACTCCTAGTTCTGCACTCAAAGATTATTCCTGGGACAAAACGTGGGGAGACCAGATGTGGTGCTGGAGATTGGCCACATGCAAGGCAAGCACCATATCCACTGTACTGTTGCTCCAGCACCCAAGATTTAAATTCACTTATAAAGATACATAAAGGCAATCTTTAAATGTAGCCGTATTTTGCTGAAGAATGACTATTGGTTTCTACTGGAGAGCTATTTCTGTAAGGGGGAAACTGGCAGAGTGCATTTGAAACTCAGACCCTGAAAGTTCTCATTAATGAAACTGATTTTTCCTCTCAGGGCAGCAAAGGAAAGAGGTTTGAATATTTCAGCCCTTCCTGAAATAATCGGATACCATATTCAGTAGAGTTGTGGTAGAACAGGCAGACAGAACTGAAAACTCTGAAAATTCAGCTAACATCTAAGTGCCAGAATCCAAGGATAAGCACAGACTGTCTTACTCACTAAATAAAGACACTATCCAGAAAGGACCAAGCATGCAGGAAGTTTCTAGATCCAAGCACAAACAAATACAAAACTGAAATCCACACACAAACACACTCTTCATAGGAAAATGAAAAGATATTAATCTTTTAGTAGGACTTAGGGAAATTATTATTTGTCTTTAAGGGAGAAGGAAAAGATGATGGGCTTATTCTCTTTGCCATGAAAGTTAAATTTCAATAATTATCTGTTTTGAAATTCCTAGAGGAAATGGCCCCAATACAGAGATGAGTCTATGGGTAAGGTTAGCAATTTTAGACCAACATTTCTAATCAAGAATTATCTCCCAAAACATAAGTGTTATTTTAAATCTAATCATGGAAAGTGATTATTTTAATTTTTACATATAGTTATAGTCTACACTTTTAGTAACCTACTGAGTCATCAAGATTTACCAAAATTTAATATACATAAAGCAAAAAATCAGCATTTTCCCCAAATTTCTGCAGAGTGTAAGAGTAGAAAAGTCAAATGGGTTACAGAATTTTTCCCAGAATAAAGGAGTTTCTGTGAAAACTGTAAACTCTTGCTTTAGATGGCTCTTTGGTGATTAGTCAATATCCTCCTTAGTTAAGCATGTGTTTTTAAAATTCAGGAAGGTTATACCTGGAGCATAAGGTTCATTCCAACATGCTACACATGCACTGGGGAATTTGAGCTTCATTCATTACGCAATGAAGAAGCAGATGAGGAAAAATGGAAGTCCATATATATCATTCAAAATATTATAAACTCTGGATTTTTATAATGGAGATCTGGAAAAGGTAAGTGATTTACCAAAAAAACAATTAGCCATGTCCAAAAAACTTTGGGATATTTTGGGGTGCCTCTATCTTAGAATCTAGCCCAAATCCAATTTCTTGATATTTAAATATATTACAAAAGAAATAGTTATCCACCTGATATTGATAAACCTTAGTGGAATTTTGTCCCTAGCAGTTAAGTTGAAACAGTCACCCTAATCGCTACTGTCTACCACTAGGAAAAGTCATCCATTCCCATTCAACACTTTCTAAACCCAAGCTTAGGGATTTTGCCTCCACTAGTTCAGAGACACATGAGGGTCCATCACCCTTATCCTTATGGAATAAGAAGGATAGAATATCTGGATGGACAGATAGCAAAAGGTAAATCTCTTTCAGTTTTACCTATGCTGAAAAACTGGATGCATCTGAAAAGTGGAAATCTAAAACTTGCTCTAAAAATAATATGGCTGGGTACAGCCCATCATCTTAAAGCTTTTCTTTCCAGCCCCTCTCCCTGCTAATACCCAATGTGGCTGTCAGTAAGTTTAGCCTGAAAATAAAATACCCTTACTCCATCAAGAAATAGCTCCAAACTTAGAGTGTGTGCTCAAAATATTCATGATGAAATCATAACCTTATATTTATAGTCTTTTGGGTTGTGTATGAAATTCTGTTTCCCATGGAGTTTTTCGTTAAAAAGGCCAGACATAGAAAGTGGGCTCAGCGGATGACCAGGCGTACATAGACTTCAAATGAATGCTGTTTACCATCATTTTTAACTGGACAGTTGTGTGATATTCTTTTTACTCCCTGTGTCCTATCCACTGCCTATGAGTCGGACTTCCTCCCCCACCCCATTTCCAGATGGTCCCTTCGTTTATTCGTCCTATCTTGTCATCCTGGAAGAGAAAACTGGCCTTGTATGAAGGAAGCAGAATGGGTCCATATGACTAACCCTCAAAACAACTTTTCTGACCCTGTTCTCTAGACTTCTTCCCCATTTTCACTGAGGGAGATGGTGTGGATCTTAATGGTTGGAACTTGATGGTTCTCTCCAAGGTTGGGGCTTGAGGGCCCCATGCAGCAGCAGACCTGCAAAAAGCTTTTACTTCTCACCCGGGCCGTGGTGCAGGTTGATTGGTCTTTGGGCACTGAAATTCGGGCTGATCCACGGGACACAGAAGAGAAAAGTTTCCATTCACAGACTCCTTCCGTCCTGGAGATCTTATAGAAAGTCTCTCCTGATCCCACTGGGATGCGCACTAGGTCCCTTTGCTGTGCCTCTATTACGTGACTGGGTGGGTGTAGGGTATAGCCCAGGGCGTGTTTGGAAGACTGCTTTCTACGGAGACACTGGAATTTCAGTACATTCTGAAAGGCCTTCTTAAACTCTTGACTGGAACATGGATATATAATGGGATTGATGCAGCTGTTTAGGTATCCAAGCCAAAATGCTATTTTAAAAACTGTTTCTGAGGGTTTGAAATCAGGAAAGAATGACCCTGGAAGAAAGCACACAGATTGATATATGTTATTTGTAAGCCAATATCTCAATTGGTTAGAGAAACATGCAAAAAGAAATCAATGAACATTTTTTTCATATCTCTAAAAAGTTTCAAAAGATTCCAAATGTATTTGATTTTCTCACATTCAACTGAATAGCCCATGTTAATATAACCCCTGGCAATATCGTCAAAGGCCATTATCACTTGGTTCACATGTGCTATGTTGTTTATGGGAACAGACCCGATGATTGATTTGCACTGGTTCTCTGGGATAAAGCAACATACTTTACCTGTAATAAAACTTTACAAAATAAAAACAAGAAATTTAGGCTGAGTTTACGTAAGAAAATTGTTTTGTTTGAATGTAAAAATAAAATAGCATTCATTCATAATTCATCTTAAGGTTGTTTTTTTTCTAGCGGTGTCATAATAAACTTTTCTCTAAGTTGTTTATTTTCATTTTTGCCTTTCATGCACCTTGTCTCAAATATTTTCCCCATCCTCTTTACCTATCCATGTCCATTCATTTATTCTATACCAGAAATCAAATCTTGGGCATGTTTATATCTTAAACAGAAACCATCATATAGTTCTTGGCAGTAAAACAACAAAACCAGGGAACCTGACAGAGAGAACAACCAGGAATTATCAATCACTCAATTTGCAAATTAAAAATATAACTAAAGAGGGCACCACTAACTTGCTTGCTGCAATCCTAGTTTAGCAATGGAAAAAGAAACCTAGAACTCATTGGCCAGTGTTTCTGATTCTCTGCTCCCCACAGTTCTAGTAGTTCTTAGAAGTCAGGCATGAATTTTCAAACCTCAACTGTCCACATCCTTACTCTTTACAGATAGACTGTAAAATTGTGTCTGGTGTATTTTTTTAACTACTTTGCCTTTATTTCTTCTACCCATTTTCAGTCACAGTTTTATTTATTAATTTATTATTATTTTTAACGTAGGAGTATTGCTATTTATTCAGCCATTGATTAAGCTGATTGAATTGAGTATGAACTCCACACAGTCACAGTTTTAAATATAGTCTCTTCTTAAACTGGGTTTCACTTTCTCTGGTTTCAATTATTCAAGGTAAAACACAAACAGAAAGTATTATATATATATAAGACTATTCTGAGACTGTGAGAGACCACACTAACATGTCTTTTATAATAATATATAACAATATATTAATATTAATATATTAGTAGTTAATTAATAATATTAATTATTGATATTAATTAATATTATTGTAGTTATTATTGTTAATATTGTAACATAATTGATGAATTAAAACCTTATTATAGGTATATAGAGATGGAACCACTAATATTAAATCCTATTTAATATATACTATTATATATTAAATAGGATTTAGTGCTATCTGTGGCTTTGGCATCTATTAAGGAGTCTTTAGACAAGGGGAATTTGTACTTGGCTGAAGCTTTGAAGCTTTGAAGCAGTAATATTATCCTTTTAGACTTCATACTTCTTTTATTATTGGATCACTGTGAGATACAGTTGCAAGATTTCATGTTTGAGTTACAATCATACAATGATCAAACATCTATCCCTCCACCAGTGCACATTTCCTGCCACTAATCTCCCCAGTATACCTATCCTTTCCCACCCTCCGCCTGCCTCCATGGCAGACAATTTCCCCCATACTCTCTCTCTACTTTTGAGCATTATGGTTTGCAATACAGATACTGAGAAATTATCATGTTTGGTCCTTTATCTACTTTCAGCACACATCTCCAATCCCGACCGATCCCTCCAACTATCATTTTCTTAGTGGTTCTATCTCTATTCCAGCTGCCTTCTCGCCGCAGCTCAAGAGGCAGGCTTCCAGCTATGGAGCAATTTTCCTGGCCCTTGTGTCTACTGTCCTTGGGTTAACTTTATATTTCTTATATGAAAAAGGAACAAAATTTACTGATAATTTTGAAGAGCTCTACACAACATTTTTTGTTTCAGTCTAAAGTTTTTGTTATGTATTATAATTATAAGGTCTTTACAATTATAAATTTTCTATATAATTTATAATTATAAGAATAATCGTATAATATAATATACATTTTATATAATTGTAAAATTTGTATTATATTATAAAGATTTTATTATGTTTTAATTTTTCTCTGTTTTATAAACCAATAAGAAACACAACATTAAACTTTACTTTGACAAATAATTTCCTGGAATTAGTAGGGGATATCATAAACTAAGCAAATAAACTTAAACATTTAAGAAACAAGGAAAAATGGTATGGTGGTTATTGGTGGTAGCACTATCTCTGAGGTGCACACACTGCTAAGTTCAATATATCTCTAGTATTAATAAATTCAGACTAATGGTATATATAGACATAGGCAGAGGTAATGTTTATAAGTGTGAGAAATTGTTATTCTTTAGGTTTAAAGTTTTCAGTATTGCCTTATACTTATCACATATCTGATTATTTACCTGAAAAATACAGAAACACTAAAAGACATATACTCAACCATGTTTATTGCACCATTATTTATAATAGTCAAGAGCTGGTAGCAGCTTAAGTTTATATAAGCCTAAGTTTATGTATGCTTATGATTTATGTGTTCATGTTTCTGTTCTATCCTATTCTCTATATAATATTACTTTGTTATAAAAATATGAAAATCTGTTAGTTGCAATAGTATAAATGGATCTAGAGGGAATTATGCTTAGTAAAATGTCAGATGTATAACAACAACCATATGGTAGACAGAGAAAATAAGCAGATGAACTAAATAAAACTAAAGTAAATGATAGTCCAAATTGTTGGTGATCAGAGGACAAGGGAGGAGGGTAAATTAAGTAAAAGAAGTGAACTGTGATCATATGTTTCTGCATAAAATTATAGCCCTATGTATCACTCATTGACCTTGCCATCTTATAGTTGTCTTGTAATTTTTATTTTGCTTATTTATTGTTCAAATACTGGCTCAGTTCTTCACACGATACCTGTCTGAATGCATGGTTCCATCCCAATGGAAAACCAGCAGGACTGTACTACTGTACAAGAAGGGAGACATTCAAGACATTGGCACCTAACTCTTGATCTGCCTGTTGTCTGTCGTCTACAAGCTGTTCACTTGAGTCATCCTGAATAGGATTGGCAGAACACCAGATGAAGGACAACCATGTGAGCAAGCTGGGTTTTAAAGAGGATTCAGCACAATCGATCATATCCACATGATAGCCAAGCTCATTGAGGTTTCTCGGGAGTTCAAGATGCTGCTTTGTCTAATGTTCGTTGATTTAAAGAAGGCCTTTGATTCTGTTGAGATGGAAGCGGTCTTCGAAGCCCTATTCAAACAGGGCATTCAAACTCAATACATCAGGATCCTCTGTGAGCTGTATTACGGATTCACTACCAGGATCTCACCATTCTACAAGGAAGTGATAGTCCGTGTCAAGAGAAGGGTTCAGAAGGGTGATACTATTTCACCAAAACTCTTCAGTGCCACCCTCGAGAACATCATGCAACAACTGGAATGGGAAGGAATGGGAGTGAAGATAGATGGTCGGCAACTACACCACCTTTGCTTTGCTGATGACATCATTCTAATAACACCAAACATCAGCCAAGCAGCACAAATGCTGGCCGACTTCAACCATGAGTGAGGATAGGTCAGACTACAGTGAATCTCAAGAAGACAATGTTCATGAGAAATGATCTCATTCCTGACATTCCATTCACTCTCAACGGAACGACCATCTCTGAATGCAGCAGTTATGTGTACCTAGGTCGAGAAGTTAATATGACAAATGACCTGGCACCTGAGTTGCGCAGAAGGAAGAGAGCATCTTGGAATGCCTTCAAGAGCGTTGAAGAAATAGCTAAGAGGATGAAGGACCTCTGGATCCAGCCACATCTCTTTGATTCCACTGTTCTTCTTGAATTAACATATGCCTCAGAGACCTGGGCCCTACAAAAACAGGATGAGAACTCTATTCAGGTCTCTCAAAGAGGAATTGAAAGAGCTATGCTTGGAGTATCACACTTCACTCAAGTGAGAGAAAGAATTAGGAGTTCTGACCTCTGTGGATGATCAAGAATCAGGGACACTATCTCGTTTGCCAAGGCATCGAAAATCAGATGGGCTGTACACATAATGAGATTTGCAGACGTCCACTGGACTAGAGCCATTACCGACTGGATTCCACGGGAAGTCAAAAGATGGCCATCCACCTACAAGATGGTCAGAATTCTTCGTCAAGACCCTGAACGATCAGTTTGAGGCTCTTTGTCTTCCAAGAAAGAGCAGACACCACTGGGCTACACTAGGATGCGACAGGGCCAAACGGCTACGTTACTGGCGCCCGCTCGAGCTAATCGATGAGTAACGAGATGTCTAGTGATCAAGTGATTGTTCAAACCTATGTTCTTCTCTGTGACAGTATTTCACTCCTTTCTTCATTGTTATATCAACTATTTGTAACATTCTATTTTTCTTATGGTACTTCATTAGTACTACACAGGAGCTGAGGAGTTACTTTTCCTCTTGTTATTGTAGGTATGTTAAACTCTTCAACAACCCCTGTCCAAACTGCTATCAGTTTATTTCCCCTACCTCTCTTCCCTTGGGTCAGCTCATTCCATCTGTGTGATTTTATCTGTTTCATTCTGAGTCTTTGGAAAAATTCCCCTCACCCCAAGTATTAATTCATTGAGCTTTCTTCCATGATTTTAAATCTACTGCAAAATTTCTGACACCTTTGCAAGACTAAAACACTGACAAACAAACTCTTGGCCAGACTGAAATGCATGCAATTGTTTATTTCTTGAAAATATCAACATCCTCAGCCTTGCATGTTGAGCAATGTTATGTTCATAATTTTCAAACTCCACCATTGAAACTTTGGATTTCAAGGGGAAATTGAAAGTGACCATTTATTTATTTCTTTGGGATATCTAAGATTTTGTTTTTGATGTGGGATACACCTGTAGGCCTATGTGGAATGATAATAGAAGTCTTC